TTTGAAAATCCCTACCACCAAAAAGGAAATCCGAAGCCTACTCGGGCTCATAAACTATTATTTAAAAAAAGCATTCTCAATCATCGTCTGGAAACAACAGTTTTCACGCGACTATTGAAAAAGGGTTAGCCAATACGATCTAGTGGAATACGGAGTTGGACCAGGCCTTCGCCAGGATTAAAACCCTTTTCTCCAGTCCCCCCATTTTAAAATTTCCCAATTCTAAATTGCCTTTTATTCTTAGGTGCAATGCCAGTGGAGGCAGCTGGATGGAGAGGTACTACACCCGATCTGCTATGTGAGCAGAAAGTTGACATCGGCTGAGGAACGGTATTCTACAAGAATGAAAGAATGTTTGGCTGTTGTTGTATCTATGTCCAAACTCAAACGATATCTGCTGGGCAAAACATTCCTGTTACAGACTGACAACAAGCCACTTTTAGTCATCAAGTCGACATCTCCGAAACACATCCGCATTGCGAGATGGACATTGCTACTGCAAGATTTCAAATTTCAGATTGCTCATATCAAAGGCTCCACCAACCATATAGCAGACCTACTTAGCCGTTTATAAAATGACTCTACATCCAACAGAGTCATGTCAGTTCGATCAAACGACATTTTCAACTTTAAAGATATTCGATTGACAGCATGATAAAAAGAACTGTCTGTATCCTGAAGCAAAACTACAAGCTTTTACAATACCTGCATACAGAGACAGTGTTGTTTGATGCAGAACTCTACTCAAGATATAGATTTCACTTCATACAGACAATGTTGCTTGATGCAGTGGTTCACTACACATGATAACTTTACACAGTGTTTTAAATAGACAGACTTGACAGAGTCTATCTGACAATGTAATGATGTTAATGTACGTTCCTCAAAGAGAACTTGAAACTTTTCTGTTTATACTGACACTGTTCCGTACATCTAATATCTGCAACTGAGACTAAATACATTTTCTTCAACATACATGCTGTTGCTGCAGAGACTAATCTCACTGGCTACATGGACATTAGTAGCAATTAAACATTCAACCAGGCTGAACTATGTTGGACATTTACAATTCTCAAGATATTCTTCAAGATAAATACCGTTCCTCGGAAACTGTACCTTTTAACTGAATGGACATTAATAACAGTTGCGTACCAAACTATACTAACCTATGCACATCTGGAAAATTTCAAAAGTTTTCAACCGTTGTCAATTCAATGATTCTAATGAGACCCCCAGGAACAAGTGGATTAGTTAATTATGATAAAAGAGTGAAAGGGTAATAAAATGGAATGAATGGATGAACGAAAGATGTACTGTGTTGATATAAGTTTATGCATATATATGTATATATATTTGCATTGATACTTATGAAACGTTGGTATATTTTTATGTTGTATATGTTATATGTTGTGTGTGATTTCTCTTTTATGTTTTTTTCATGGTAAAGGTGTATAACTTATTTATTTTATCATGTAATAATTTTTCGAGAATTGGTTTAGCTGTTATGCTAAATCTAATGATTTTTCTTACATTTTTAAATTTTTCGGATTTTGTTCTAGACATTTCACAGATAAACAGTTTCACAAATTTTGGCATTTAAAGTTTTACAATTATTCTGCCGCTAAATTTTCATGGTTACTCTACGTAGTGTTGACGAGCAACTTCATGTAATAGTGTGTATAAATAATCAGTTCACAGTTAGATTTCAAAGAAATCAAGCTTGCACATGTTTTCTTTTTACAGATGTAATACACTAGTAGTATTGCAGGTTAGAATAACAACGTTAGATAAAATAATTAAATTATCTGATAGTTTTTGTTGTTGTTTGAAATATGTGACAATTATAAAGCGATTATAGTGAACAAATTGTTGGGAGGACATTGTATTTCAAATGAGCTTCACTGAGACTAATTGTGGGGTTTTTAAATTGTCGGAGACTATACATGTAGGTTGACGGTATCCTTGGTGGATGGATATGCGTCGTGCAGGTCACGTATTTGTCTACTATTTATTCTACACTGTTGGTCAGAAGGTGTGACTAGTGTCTTGGCAGGGATTGCGTATTTATAGACACAATACGACGGGACGTCGGGAGCTGCAAAAAAAACCACGGATATCTCGGGAAGACATATCTGTGACGACCATTGTTATTAGCATCGCTGGGAAGCGCATTCGATGGCGTTTAACTCGCACGGGAGTGGGGTTAAGTTCAGTGGGTTTACCCACATTATTTTAAAGTCATTACCTGTATGATTAGAAGGTGTTGGATATGGTGGCGGATTTGTGTCAGGTACTGACAATATTTGTACCTTCGGGGGAGGCTGTTGCCCTCATGTGTGTACATCCACAAATTTATGTACTTTATTCTCATGTGGTTGACTCAGGGTAAAAGAAGCTCATGCCTACCCACTTAACTGATTGTTCCTTAAATAGGGGGTTAGATTCCATACCAAGTCGTCGATACTTGATACAGACTAGGATAAGTAGCATCCATGTCTGTCATCAGGAAGTATCGTTTTAGAGGAGGGGTGGATGTCATAGCCCTGTGGGACAGAGTATAGACAATACGTCGTGTAACTACATGTTGGTGTTTGACGGACCAAAAATGTGCACCAGCGCTCAGCCAGTTGATTTGATGATACGGGGAAACCCGAGATTCGTGAACACTGGTGCAACGTACACGTTTGAACCGGAGCTGAACGGGGAGAGGGGAGAAAAAGGGTGTGCGAGGATGAGGACATTTTGAGAGACGTGTTGGTATTTATTTTGTTAGGAATTGACAGATAGGTTGTGTAGTGTTAACGCTGTCGTCGTATGTGTTGGTTAGCTGTTGTTATTTTTAGTGTGCTAATAGTATGTTAAGACAGTTGTGTTGGGGTTGTACCATGTTTAGGTAGGGGTTCTTGTCCCTGGATTTTTGTGGGTTATCTATCTGCGTCTTGTGCTGTCGTTGACATTGTCCGCTAATACTTGAACCACTCACCCTGCGTGTGCCACTGAGTCTCGCATGGCGAAGATCGTAGCCTAGTTAGCGCTGCACTACAGGAGGTGGAATCGTGTCCTTGGGTATATCCATGGGAATGGCCCGGGGTGGATAGGTAAATATAACTGCTGCCACTGCCCGGGGATTTTGGATGAGGGACTGTCCAAAACTGTGGAGGTTGTTTTTAGGTTATATTGTTCTTTGGCCATTAAAGATGATGTGTGTGCTTTATTTGTGTATGTGTTGAGTGTGTTTTGGTATAGTTTGTCTGTCACAGGGCCGTACAGCGAGCCCTAGTTTAATAATATAGATATCAGGTCCTTGACACACATCTTTCAGAAACTTCTAAAGTGGCTTTTTGTTTTTGTAACCCGAGGGGTTCCACATTTGTATGGATTTCACACATAACAATTGGAGTAAACCATATTGCTCCGCTTGTTAATGGAAGGGCATTTTTTACTATGTCGAGAGACACTGTCTGTTTTGGAGCAGGTTGTAAGCAGTGAGTTGTACTCTATCACAGAGCGAACATATCCAAGATATAAGCCCCTCAGAGTTTCCTTGTCTGATCCCCATAATGTACCTGTAAGTCTCTTCAATAACTGTAACCACCTCGATGCCTTATTCCTTATGTTTTCAATATGGTTCTTGAGGCTCAGCTGGAGGTCAAGTGTTACTCCAAGATATTTAGGATGCTCTTCTTTCATCACTTGGTGTCTGTCTAACCTCAGGTTGATATTCTTCCTTGCTGCTTGATGGCTTTTGGTAAAGACTGCGTAGATCGTCTTTGTATAGTTAACCTTGAGTGTCCATCTTCATGCAATCATCTAAGGTCTCCATTTAGTCTTTGGGCTCCACTTTCCACATTTGCATGACCATATTGCTAGATCATCAGCATACAAGGCTTTTTTCAGCCTTCATTTGTTCTGGCAAGTCATTGATAAAGATTAGAAACAGTGTACAGCTCAGTGATGAGCCTTGTGGCAAGCCCTCCTCCAAGACTTCTTTAGAAGAGATTGCAGTGTGTATCTAAGTCTGGATTGTTCTGTCTATCAGAAAGTATTTCACCCAGTTATACAATCTGCCATGTATTCCTATGCTCATCATCTTCATCAGGAGAACTTTTCTCCATACTCTGTTATAGGCCTGCTGATGGTCAACAAAGATGGCCACTGTGTGCTTCTTATTCTAAAAGCTGCCATGAATTCTCTGTGTCAATCTGAACAGCTGGTCTTCTGTACAGCTGTTGGTTCTGAAGCCTGCCTGTTCATGGCATAGAACACCAAAACTCTTGAAGAACCAGTACAAGCGCCTGTTTATCATTCTTTCTGCAACTTTGCCCAAGCATGATGTTGAAGGAAAATTATTAGCCCAACAAAGATCAATGAAATCTTCCGCTTTAAGAAATCAGCAGCATCTGTGCAAGTGTGAATTAAAGAATGGTAACAAGAAATCTAAGGCTACATGCAAAATGTTGTGTTAATCCAGATCTAAGTTTCTGAGATGAATTATTCAAGTGTGACCACAAGAATTTTGAAACACACTAGAGAATTACTCACCTACAATGTTATTAGGTACCAGCACTCTGCCAACAAATACAAGGATCACACCAAACTGGTGCGCAAAAAAAATTATTGCCCTATTGCTAGAATTCTGTGTAATACCACCCCCCTCCCCCCACCTCCCAACCAATCCAAGGCTGTTTTAAGACTAGCCCTCATATCTACAGGAGTGTGGCTCCATGGCCTAGAGGTCAGTGAATGCAGTTAACAATTTGATGATTCTCGAGTACTAGTGTTTTTTCCCCATGTTGGAAGGATATTGTTTTTTTAAATCGCTCACATGTTGAGCAATGGTACGAGAGTGGCACCGTGGAAAACACTGGGACCTCACAATATAATATTCTCAAAGACTGCAACATTACAATGTGGCCAACCTTCACTGTGGTGATGGTACAGAAATGTTCATATATAAAGTAAAACAACCACAAGGTCAGACAATCATATCACACAATAACCTCTTGTCCATTTCTTGTGAAGAACACTCTAGAACTGTGTCTGTCTCCTCCAGCGGGATCATCCACCAGGCGGATCCCCACCCCCATCCTATCACCAATCCCACATGGTGGACCTGACTGGCTGGTATCACAAATCCCACGACCGTGGTTAATGAAGAATCTGTAATTGCAGACACATACAATAAACAATAAATAAAATACTAAGTTATCTTGGCTGCAATCAAAGCAAAAACTTAAAACAGAAACAACAACATTAAGATGTGTTTTATGTTTTAATTTATTACTATCGACTATGGGATGGATGTTACCTCCTGACTGTTTTATCAGTAATTTCATTCCACTTCTAAAATGTAACTGTCATTTTTACTACTGCATTTTGTTTTCAACCTAAAATTGTGTCTTATTATCTTCTTTCCTCAATTCTTATTTACTAATGCATCTGCCCACTGTTTTACTTCTGTGTTTATACCTGTCTCAATAAAAACATTCCTCTGAATCTCTGTTACTGCAACAAATTCATATCCACCCCTTTCCCGTTCTTGCTGCAACATACAGATGTGGCTCATGCACTTTTACAATCACACACACACACAGAGACAATCAGCAGATCTTGTGTATTTAGAATATTTGTTACAGAATATTTGTTACAGAAACACATGGATCTAGAAGAAGAAAAACAAGGACATCCCAGAAGACCTGAACAAGAAAGAAAACTGGAGCATGGACAGCATCACGTCTCAGACCATGTCTCAGATCATGTCTCAGACCATGTCTCAGACCATGTCTCAGATCATGTCTCAGATCATGTCTCAGACCATGTCTCAGATACAGAAACACTTTAAACACATTAAATGTTGCAGTGATGTGAGCGCTGAAAAGAACAGTTAGTAATGAAGGCGAGATTCACTAAAGAGACTGGAACTGACCAGCACAAAAGTGGACATGACATGTTGGAGACACCTTGAGCATGAAAGAATGTCATGTAAGATAACTGGCAAGGGACTTAGTCTTTTCAGCTGAGTGTGATGCGACAGATTTTATGTAAAGGACATGCTACATGATGATGATTATTATGATGATGAACAAGCTATGAGAATTCTCATACGAACATGCGCCTTCCAAGCTGACAAATTATGTGATAAAGCACAATACAGCATCATCATTTTTTTTTCTATCTTGTTTATCCAATGGTTTATGTTTAAGATCTTTCATTTCTACATGAAATGTAAATGTGTTAAGAACATTCTGTAAATATTTTTTGAAAATATTTAGTATCATAAAATAGACAGCAAAATACAAATATTAAGAAAATCTCAGTCAACTTGAAATTAATCAAAAACAAAGAGTTCCAGACATAAATTTTTCTTCTATTAAACAGGTCCACAGCAAAAGTAAGACAATCAACCTCAACTAGTGTTAAATAGAAAAGAGAGAACTATAAAGGTCACAAAATACACCAATCAATAAACACATCAGTAACAGGTAGAGAATATATTCCATCAAATAAGTTATAAACAAAATGTTCACCAATAAATCTGACAAATGAACTCAAAGACAGCTACTCACTTGCCACTCTCAGCTAGGTAGCCAACGGAGTTAGCCTCAACACCAGGCTGGCAATTTAGGGCGTATTTGTCTGGCACTAGACCTATACCTGCAACAGCCAACCAATACATGTCATCAACCAATACATGTCATCAACCAATACATGTCAGCAACCAATACATGTCATCAAGTATTTGCACACAACCTGTATCATCTCAATATTCAGGAATATCTCATTTGTCATCAGCTTGCAAAGAAACATCAATTATATCATCATGAAAATATAAATTTCAGGCAACCATCCTCCACAGGAAACATCATGAACACTACTGTTTAGGATATACTGCTGAGCCATTCTTGTACCTAGAATCAAAACAATCAATTTGCTGGAGTACATCAGAAACAAAAATGTTTCAGGCAAACATCACTGTTAACTGCAGTCTAACAAAAATCCAAGAGACATTTTAATCCAATATTATGAATGCACAAGTCTAACATCTCAGTAGATAATCACCCCATTTGGCTGAAGTATACTTTCCCTTTCCCATCTATAATCATGTTATAGCACCCTCCAGCTATCTTCATTCTCAGCTCAAGCCACTGAAGGAAATCTGCCCTGGAAACAGTTTGAAGATGACCAGAGTGAGCTCAGATTGTGAGGCCATGTCTTTATCAACAGAAAACAAACTGATACAGGGCAGGCATGCATGTCCTAATGATCTGCTGGTGTCAGGTGAAAGCAGATCCAGAGGTCGACTACCTAATCGATGAACAGATGGAATAGTTGAGGTCGTAAATATGAGCATCAACACTGCGCACACCAAGGCATACACCTCAAGCCTCTTCAAAACCAGGCGCTAAAAGGCAAAACAGGACTAGACAAAAAGAAGAAGAGGAAGAGAAGGAAGAAGAGGAGTAGGAGGAAAAAGAGGAGCAGGAGGAAGAGGTAGAAGAAGGAAGAGGAGGGGTGTGGAAATAAATATTTGTGAGGTAGAAACAATGTAGTGCATTACTTCCTCAACAACAACTATTGTAATTAAACAGAGCAGAGTTCAGATTATCTTCAACAATCTTTCTCCTAGTCCACAAATTAGTAAACAGTAAAAGTAAATGAAGGACCATTTTCCGTGTCTTAAGGCACATTGAACATGTAGGGCTAACCCTATATATTACAGACCGACTGACACTTTGTGGGTGACAGGAAAAACATCCTATCGTCTGCCTTTACTTCCCAGGAATTTACCTGGTACTAACTTAAGGCTGGGTCGACCTGGAGTCCACATAAAAGCTCAACATTAAAGACTGAGACTGCTTACATATCTGTCCCAGATCTCCGATGTCCAGGATTTCTATTTCGACATAGTGACTGTAGTGATCAAGTGTGTGTGCTGCCACATAGAGGCCCACAAGCTCCCCAGCTCCTCCGCTGTAACTGTGGACAGCGTCAACAAATACAAGATCAACACTCTGACTCTGCTCAACATGCACATGGTGAGTAAACAATGACATGGTCAGGACATGCCGACGCAGCCAACACATATGAAATTAAACAGCTTTGAAATGAAACTAATATGTACAGACAAACCACACTATAGGTTGTCACAACGAATTTAGACAAACCAATCCTGTAACAGTCAAAACTGATTTAACAACTGACTGTCTTGTTGGTTATATTCTGAGAAGTCATATTTTACCTCAAAACATCATCCTCAACTTTGACCCGCTGAAACCTTGCTTCTCCTCTGACCACTGGATTTGGTACTCTGGGTGGCAGGGGGCCCTGGTAGCGATAGATGCGGCCCCTTCCTCTGTTGTTAATGATCTGATCAAACCCAATGTCTTGTTGCAGCTGTTGTCTTGCCGCAAAAGGTAATCGATCTCGTAGCAACACTGCCCGAATTCGCTCAAAATCATCCATTGGTGCCAAATGTACTTAACTTCATCCGTAACTGAAAATAAAATTTGAAGACAATTTTATCAAACAAAAGAAAATCGCAAATATTGGGAGAGATGCAGGAGCTCACTCTCTGACTGCTGATGATGTCAATATTACTGACAGCCCCTATAAAGCTATTACCATGGAATTCTGGATTCTTCACATCAAATATTCTCTAATCTAATCTGATCCAAACAAAGTTCAGAGTGCAACAGTCTGTATTGTGTTAACTAATAAGTAGACCAAACACCCCACACATAACCAGACATAGAAAGACTGTAGTATTATCCCTATTGAAGATTACTATGAACAGGGCAGCTGTAGTGGTGCAGTGCCAGTATGTTTGCCTGCTGACTTAGAGGTCATGTGTTCAAATCCCAGTTTACCTCAACTTCAATACTGAACCAGTACTAAAACTGATAACTGGAAATTGTATAGAAAGTTGAGGTGACCCATAAAGTTTAACAGCATTAGCATTGAGTATTCATTGACCGACAAAAATGTGGCATCATCATACACCTCCTAAGGCTCAAGACCCAGAAAAGGTGTGTGTGTGTCACCACCACCCCCCCCCCCCCCGAATCTGGAAGCCAAACAATCAGTTCTTTCATTGTTATGAACACCAGCACAGTCAGGAAAATGGATTCACAAACATAGAATTCAGTAGTGACACTAAAATATACTACACAGGAACAATATGCAAGATTTAAATAAACATTCTGTTTTCTACCCTCACACACAAATAATGAGCTCAACCAACTCATGCCACTCAATAATGAGTTCAATCAGTAATAAGCTCTTAACTAATGAGCTCACCCAAATTATACTGACTCAAGTAATGAGCTCACATAACTTATGCTACTCAGCAATTTAATTCACATATCTCATGCCACTCAGTAATTAATTCCCATATCCCATACTATGCAATAAAGAATTCAATTATCTCATGCCACTCAGTAATGAATTCCCATATCCCATACTAGACAATAAAGAATTCAATTATCTCATGCCACTCAGTAATGAATCCCATACCCCATATTAGGCAATAAAGAATTCAATTATCTAATGCTACTCAGTAATTAATTCCCATATCCCATACTATGCAATAAAGAATTCAATTATCTCATGCCACTCAGTAATTAATTCTATCCTAACTCGTAAAGAATTCAATTATCTCAGTAATGAATTCACCAATAAAGAATTCAATCTCATGAATGAATTCCATATAACTGAATAAAGTTCAATTATCCATGCACTCAGTAATGAATTTCCATATCCCATACTAGGCAATAAAGAATTCAATTATCTCATGTCACTCAGTAATGAATTCTCCTAACTCGTGCCACTCAGTAATGAATTCACCCAACTCATGAAACCAATCATGCAACTAGTAATGAATTCACTCAACTCATGCAACTAGTAATTAATTCACTCACCTCATGCAGTCAGTAATGAATTCACCTACCTCACGCAATTAGTAATGAATTCACATAAATTTATGCCACTCAGTAATGAATTCACCTAAACTTATGCCCCTCAGTAATGAGTTAACCTAACATATGCCACTCAGTAATCCACAAGCGATTATTCTTACTGAATTTTCTGCGATCCTTCTACAGGTAACACTCTCCCCCATCTTTCCTCAATTATGAAAAAAAGCCTTGTTAAATTATTCACTTGGTGATGTTATGGCAATGCCTACTAGCAGCAGTAGTCAGAAAATGTAACAAGTAAAATACACTTTACTAAACCTTAACAAATGTATTATCTATCAGTATTAACCCTGATATTTATATAAACCAATCAACACTTGATGTGTGTGATGTTGTGTAATGTTTTAATGATTAATATATGATATGATGATTGATGTGATTATGTGTGATGTGATTATTTTGATGCAATTATGCGTGATGCAATTATGTGTGATGCAATTATATATGATGTGATTATATATGATGTGATTTTGTGTGATCTGATTATGTGTGATGTGATGATGTGTGATGTGATTATGTGTGATGCAATGATGAGTGGTTTGATGATCTATGATGTGATGATGAGGGAGGTGATGATGAGTGAAGTGATTATGTGTGATGTGATGATGAGTATGTGCTGAGGAGTGATGTGATAGTGATGATGAGCATTGTGATGGAATGATGTGATGATCTGTGATGTGAAGATAAGTGATGAGTAATGTGATTAGGAGTGCTATGATATGTGATGAAGAGTGATGAGGTTAATATAATGTTTGGTGTATTAACTTATCAAAAACTTGTTGTGGTAGTTATTTTTAGTCTGCTAGCCCGTGTACGAGCATCACAGAGCAGGGCACTTACTTGCCCTAGCAATCAAAATGGTTGCTAAAGGCTGAGGACGTAGTCTAAAGTCATGTGGATGAGGAAAGCAATGGGAAACACACCACATTACTACCCCAAGAAACTCATCATGGAAATACTGATATCATGAAAGATCTGAACATCAAGGAAGATTGGCTAATAAATAGCATCCTGTCTCGGAAGCTAAAATATTTTGGTCATATCAAGCGTCACGACGGATTGGAAAAAATTATAGTAGAAGGCATGGTACCAGGAAGGAGGGGCATGGGCCGACTGACACGAACATGGGCATAGGATATAAGTGACTCCTTGAGTATGAAAGTATACGAGGCGGAAGAGATGGGGAGAGACCTTTTTTTTTTCAGGCAGACTGTGATGAGAGCAACGTTCTGCAAAGGGACTGCTAAATGATGATGATGGCTAAATGATGATGATGAGCCCGTGTACACCTGACATAATTGCTAGGTCAGCAAAACTGCGAATAAAGCTGAACATGTTTGTGGGATATAATTCTACAACTTGGTCTATAGAATCTGATTAAATAAATATAGTGTTTAATATTATTTAATAAACTGTCAACAACGGTTATAATAGCTACCAAGTAACCAAGGACTTTCAATCCTCATCTCAACACTGCACTTGAGAAGACTTGAAGCTAACTGAAATTGTCGTTACAACTTGAATTTTGTGTTGAAAACTGTCTTAAATAAAAATGCGTTTCCCGTTGTTAAAGTTAGTTAGTAAATAAAAGAGAGAGTAGACGGAGATTTAACTGTTAACGAAAAACTGAATATCTAAAATGTAATATGAAATACTGTCAATGCAGTTGTGCTAGTTTTTATACGAGTGATTTAATTAAGTGTCACTTTTTTTAGTCTTTAGTCAAATGTTCAAAATCATTGAACTTGAACTAATTACGTCAGATTAATTCATACAAGTTTAAAGCGAATATTAATATCTGGAAAAAATCACTTACAAAGCGACTGATGAGACTAGCTTAGATAATAATTTTCAAAGCACTTACACACTAATAAAGAACTAAAAGAAGAATGAGATATTGACTTCCAGTTGTAAGGACACAGAGACTGCTGTTGTCAAATAAAATAACACAGCTAACTGCACTTCCGTCCAAGTCAGCACCCGGGTTATCTCTCCATCGTTGACCAAAAACATCTCCGTTTCTGCAATAGCAACGAAATAATTCTCCAACATTAACTTGCACTTAGGGTGTTAACTCTTAACTAATAACAGAGCTTCAAAGCAGTAAACACTTATATCTGCATGAGTTGAACGGAGACACCCAGATGGAAGCAGTTAAACTTATAACTCAGATGCCCAGGGTCATCAATTTAACGATGGTGATCGAAGACAGCAAAGATCATATTACCAAAGCACTCGGGACACACCCATAAGCGCTCTGTCCCCACCTTCAGCAGCAAACGAAGAGTTCCAAAGCCGATGGCACCAGCAACTATCTGATTGAATATCCGTCTCGCCCTTCCCTTGAGTGTTGAGCGTCGACCAGATCCCGTGGTAACTCCTCGCAGCGGCATTCTCCTCAAACCGTAATGCTTTTTGTGTCTCCGCACTATTCACTAGCGCCCATCGTGCTCTCGCTACATCTAGCTTGTCATACATCAGTTCGCCATTAAGTGGTGCAGAACCAACCAGTCTATCTGCCTGCTCGCTTCCCAACACACCGGTATGACATGGAAAGAATGTCTGAAGGATACTAACTACTCAGGACCTCTCAAATGATGCTCGTCACTCTGCAACAGAACATACCTGTGTCCACGTTTCTCAACATGCTCTGTGAGTCAGTGACGATCACGGCATGTGTGTACAGCTGATTCTCAAGCAAGTATGAGGCAGCAGTGACTGTCTCCACCTCCATTCTCAAACTAGACGTTGTAATATCATATACCAGGCTATGCTTCAATAAGAGACGTCCATTCGCCTTTGTTATAAACCCCCATGTACTTCGTCTGCCCCTCAACACAGAGCCATCTGTACAGATAATCACATCACTTGGGCGGGAATTGTCATGAATCATTTGTTGAACTTCTGATTCTGCAGCGCCAGGTGGCCAGTCCCTGCACTCACGACCTAAAGTGATAAGCCTGCACAAGACTGAAACTTGTTCGGACACTTTGACCCACTCTTCACCTCGCACAAATTTATCAAGCCTGTACACATGTCTGGTTGTGTCTTCAGCTTGCGCCATCCAAGACCCATATTATCTGTGAAATGACCAAGAAACGAATGATGAACTGTTTGGTACCGAAAGAGTTAGGTAACGTGGGGAGGAACATTTTGCAGTCTACTGCTCACTGGGAACCACCGGCTACTGCCATTCCATGTTCACGTAGAATATTTTTAATATTATCAATCCATATTCTCAGTGGGAGCCCTCTTGATTTCACGTCTCATCTGTCTAAGCTCGGCTACTATGTTTGTGTTTGTGGCTTGATTAAAATTTCTCCTGAAATTGTGACACCATTTCAATGTATGTTTCTCGTGAATTTGGTGTAAGGTGTAACGAAATAATTATATTTCGAGATTCCAATAATCAGTTCATACTTAAAGGTTCTGCGCGTTCTCACAGTTTTGTTCTTGGTTTGGAAATCAGAACTGACTACTGAGCATGGT